AATATTATGACTCAAAAGCAGAGACAAAGATAAATTTGAAAGAAGAGTAAGAGAAAATGTTTACAGGCCATTACAAGTCCTTAAGTTAGCAGGAAAATAAGGAATCAGTTGCTCAAGTTGAAGAAAGCAGTAAACAAGATTGCATTTACATGCAGATGTCTAAAATTTGTATTTTTTAAAATCTATGCACAAAAGTCATTTGTTTTTATTGCTTGACATTCAGTTATGGCTAGAGTATTTTTAACCTATTTTTTTTGTACTTTGGAAACAAGAATATTGTTAAAGGTGCCATAAAAATGGACAACATTGAAAATGGTTTGCAAATAAACCACCTAACACTGCAGTTCTTTATACATTTTTAAAAGCCTTGTCTGGGGTTTGTCATATGTTAAATATATTTAAATTGGGAAAATATGTTGTAGCTTGAAGCCTCCCATTGGCCCAAACATCCAATACAAAAACATATCTCCACAAAAGGAGCAGGCAGACAATTACAGGTACACAGAAAGAAGCAGCCAGGTAATGTCCTAATGTTAAAAACATTTACCACTGTTTTACATGAAGATTCAAACCAAAACAGAAAAGAGAATTTGGAATTTAGAAAGATGTATACAGTACATATGTATTTTTGTGAAATAAAATTCACTATATTGCTTATGAGTTGCTTGCATTTACTTATGCAATCTGTTCAGTGATAATCAGCTCCACAGAAAATGTATTAATCCATATTAAGACTGATTGGGATAACAGGAGGGAAGCAATTAGATGAAGCACACAAAGAATGAAAGCATAGAGCTTTTGCTGTCAGATCATGATGGTGTGTATAGAATACAATGTGTTCTGTGAAAGGGTTTCAAGGAATAAAATAGAAAAAGTTTATGCGGCATAGTAATTATACCATAAAATTAAATGCAGATTAGAAATACTGATTTTTTTTTCTAGCCATCCACTTAAAACATTCATATACAGTTTCCACAGTGAGTCCATAGACCAGTACATTTTGTGTTGAATTACCAAAAAAAAAATATTTCCTTTACGGACTAAGTGTAATTATTGCTCTAAGTTCTAGAGGTCAGATTCCTGCCTCAAAAGAGGATGTAAGGTTTTTGTAATCTACAATGGCAGTTTGGTGCTGAAACAAAGTGTTAAGTGAAGAGCCCAGCAAGAGCTGATGTCACTAAAGAAAAATTGAACAGAAACAAACTGCTACATAGAAATGTCTGGCTGTTCTACACTGCAGGCATAGATGAAGGAAAGCCTTTGTATGTCTTAAAAGAAGTGACGAAGAGTTTCTTTCAATTAATTCAATGTGATGACATTGCTTTATAAGGCAGGCATTGAAGGACAGGAAAAAACTGTTCAATAGACGGAAATTACCATATTAGGATCTTATTGTTTGTCCCTATTGTATTTCTGAGAGGGAGGATTTGACTTGTAATGGGTTTTAAAGATATTCTATTATACTATATTTTGACACTGAAGTGGTTAAAAATATTTTCTCAGATCAAAATTCAATAAGTTCTAATGACATGGATGCAATGAGTTTTTTTCCCAAAATAGTCTAAAATTAAGCAGTTAGTAATATATAGCTATTCCTGATCCAATGAATATATAAAGGTCTCAAAGTATGCTTATGATGGGGTATTTTGTCTATAAAGCATTTAAAGCTTTCTTCTTCCTATTTTTTTCTATGGCAAAAAAAAATACGGGAAAGAGAGAGGCAAAAAGGAAGAGAAAGAGAAAGAGAGAGAGAGGAGTTAGACTGGGTGGAGAGAGGAGAGACAGAAAGTGATAGAGCAAGAGTGAGAGAACAGATATTCACCTCTGGTTTGGAATAGTGTCTTTTAATTTTATCCATATGTAAATTCTGGAACATATTTTTCATTGTAGAAAGCTGAAAATGTATTTGACATGAACACTTTCTTGATAATTACAGAACTAGCACATAATGTGTGCAATGGAACTCTGAATGATGTTCCTTTGTTAATACGCTTAATGTTTGTTTAGCTTGAGAACAGAATGGCACAGCTTTATGCCATTTTTAAGCACATAAGACCAAAGAGAATATAGGTTTCAGACAACAAAATGAGACAAATGTGAATAGTTTACATACTAATGTTCTTATGCAGTTCACTTGTGCCTTGGAGGGATATTATTAATAATAATGAAAAATGAAATTTGTCCCAGTAGTACTGGCCACCCTGTTTTAAGAGTTTTAGAAGATCCCTGAGCACATTAGTTTCTGACTCTTAACCCCAACTCCAAAAACGATAGGGCTTCTATTGTTGATAACAAGATGGATTGTCATTCACAGTTAAGTCAATCATAAGGTGCTTATTTACCCTTTTTTCACCAATCAGCACAAAGAACTGTCAAAAAATAACTTTTTATTTTTTAAAAATAAAAGTACTAGAAGGACATATGTGATTTAAGCAATCAATGTTTGAGACAGTGGCTTTTAGGATAATTATCTGGCTGCCCCTCAACAATAAACAAGTGATTCAATCGACATTCCTTAGCAAAAAAGAAAAAAAAGAAAAAAAAAGAAAAAGGCAAAAAAAAAAACCTGTACAAATATGTATTTTTTTTCCCTGAGGGATCAAGGTACACCCGCAAGTGCTCTATGTACATATTGCACTATAGAGGAATGAAGAACATGTGCAAAAAAGCAACAATGATAGAAGCTTACAGACTAATTTAACTTTTTAATTAGGACTCTCCTATGTTGTCTTGCATTTTGGAATGTCGGAACACAAACAGCTATTCCTTAGTCGAAAACTTAAGAACATGTATTTCTACTATGGCACATTCAATGAAATAAAAAGTTTTCCAAAGACAGATAGACAAATTCCATCAAGAAAATAATACAAAGTTTGTTTGTTTGTATTTTTTTTTTAGAAAATTACATTACTTTCTTTCATTGTTTCACATTACAAAATCTTTTTTTTCTTTACACAAATCACATTTTATTGCAGGAATATTTCAAGTGCCATCAAATATTTATAGAAGGGTTAAAAAAATAGAAGTCTCTCTAAAGTGGTCCAGACAAGGCTTTGTATAGAATAAATCTTTTTTTCCACCTTCTATTTTTGACTTACATATTTTGAATACATTTTCTTTTTCCATTGACACTTAGTAGCCTAGAAGCAGTCAGACGCTCACTCACATTGCACACACATCCATTCACTCCCCCAACCTTCCCACATGCTCACATAGACCTGGGTATCCATACTATAAATGTACAAACTTCGTAAAGAACAACCAAACTTAGAAGAAGCAGTGTCTCAAATCAACTTTGCTTAAGTTACAAAAGATGAATGAGGATTTTAGAGACCTAAGAGTATACTGCACTCTCTAAAAACAAAACAACCAAATGCTATACTTTAAAGCAAATAGTTAATCTGCTTGAAGATTCATTTTGCCATAAGCTGTAGCTTTGTTTTCTACTGTGAACAAAGCCAAAATTGTCACAAGAAGAAACCAGCTGTATAGACACCACTGAAATATACGGCGTCCATGTTTTTTATATAAGCCATATTTGTTCTAATTGAGAGTGGTATGACATGCTCAATGATGGAATAATGACGTTGATGTGGGACTAGTCTCCCCCTCCCTCCCACCCAAAAAAAGAAAAAAAAATCTTCTGGTGGATACTTTTTAGGTACAGGCAACTTCAATGATAAGAATCATTAAAAAAATTTTTCCCATGTTAGCAAAACATATTATAGATGTTTCTGTAACAAGGAAGAAATGAGAGCAGAAAGTGAAAATTCAAAGTTTTTCACATTCATTTATGCACAGCATATTATTAATGGGATATATCACCTCACTTCAGATCTTGGATCCTATAAAATGTGTCTAGCTCATAATATTCAACATCCTCTTGGTCTTTCAAAAAGACCTGGTAGCAGCATTATATTACTCTATCTTGATTTATCCCTGTCTCTCCTTCAGAAGCAATGCCACTCTGAAGTAATGATACCCAAGATCTACATCTGGCACAATGTTAGATCTTTTCTAGAATCGGTATCATAGCAATCTCGATAATGTTCAACATCAAGGTCTGTCTCACCCTTAGAAAAGATTAGCTCATTGGAATCTTGCAAATGGACACTGAAATTAAGTTTAGTTGCTCTTTAAAAGTACTAGCACCTGAGGCTGGTCATATTCAGAAAGCTTTGGTTAAAAAAAGTTAACATACTTTAATAAAACCATATCTAAAATTTAGTAAGTCAGAAGTGACTTAAAGTGAAACCAATTAAAAAAAAAGAAATATAATAACTCATTAGTTAGCCCAGTAGGATATAATAAAGACCTTGGATTGACTTAGTATATATATTTTGCAGAAACTGACAATCAATTCCTAGGGGAGCATATTTACCTAAATGAACAATTTTGACTGTTAATTTCTGTATTTAACTGATAATCATTCTTTATGTAGCCACATGTTAAGGTATTTAAATAGTTTACTTTCATTTTCTGTTTACTGTTAGACAATGATCATTGATCAAATATATATGTAATCCATGTATATGTATCTATATAATGTTCAAGATGTTATTTAGGCTTCATACAGATCTACCATACAGAGAAATTCTTTACTTTTTGAAAAACCCTAAGCAAAGGAGTCAACTGAATATGAATTTAATGACATTTTTTCTGAAGCCAAAAATGGCAACAGAATATAAAGTCAAAATCAATATTCCACGGGAAAGATTTGGGAGATAATTCTAATAGAAAAGTAAAGGTTTCTATGAGTATAGAAGGAATTGACTGAAGTTCCATTTGTTACCTTGAGGCCACAAAACACATTCTCTCCTTTGTACAAGCTGTAGAAGGCCTCTTCCTAAACCACGAGTATGATATAACTTGCCTTGTGGATATGTGAGGCAAGGTATATTGAAGAAATGTGGAGAAAGTTTGTATTTGAGATTGAGTGACTACCTACGAAAACATGTTCCAGACAGCTGTGGGTGACCACAATTTCAGAAAGCAGACTGGGTTTTACACATTCTTTTTCTGTGTGTGAGTTCCAGCCTGCTACTGAAAAAAGAACCCAAAAACCAAAAACCCAACTGTCCTTGAAGATACATTTGGCACTACTCTTTTGCTTCTAGCACGAAGAAATAGAAGGAAAATATTCAGGTCCTCGCATGTGTAATGGTTATCAAATGATATCACAGCCATCAAATACTTTTTGCCCTGAGGCATAGACTAGCACATGGGTAACAGGGCTGAAGAGTTCAACACACACACACAAAATAGAAAATCAGATGTATGAATCTCATGTTTTGGACTCAGTATGACACCTTGTAGGACCAAAACGAACATTTATAGACTTAAGAGGAAGGAATGACAATCCTGTTCTGGAAATGAGCTCACTGTGCCTTGATATTACTCCTTTCCTATGGGAATGGGGGAAATCTCCCTTCTCCCACTGCGTGAAAACTCCAACTGTATTCCTAATGATATGCCAAAATAAATGGCAGCCCTGATTTTCCTACTGAAAACACTACGAACTGGTGGTATCAGCTTCACTTTCTAAACATAAAGACATTTTGCTTACTATTTAACAAATAAGATAAAATGGTTCAACATATCTTGCCTCTGTTCTACCCTCTGTGGCCTACAAAATGAAAAGTGCAATATTTTCTAGAATTCTAGAATATGAGAATAGCTATAGTTTATTCGGTGGTATGCTTTCAGGATTCCCACAGTATAATAAGAACCCATGAGAACTGCTTCTCCACCCCTTTTGCCCCTAATTCATGCCTCCCCTTAGTCTGTGCTTTATGACCACAAATTTGTTCTGGTAGTAAAAAGTTAATTCCAATAAATACACTGGTTACTGATTTGTTCCAAAGCTCAATGATTGCTACTGGAAGGTATCTAAATATAAATACTGGATTCTGCATAATTAGGGCTATGGGATTTACAGGGTCAGGGATAGGAGAATAAATAGCATTTAAAAACTTTTCCAAAATGTGCCTAACAGTCTACATGCTCAGTCTCCACCTAGAGTTGCAATTATACTTTGTAGGAAGCTTAAATACATTCGTTTTTTAAAACTTGCCAAAAGGCAAAGCATCCTTTAGGGCTATGTCAGTTTCAGACTCAAATTCCATGTGTAAAAAATGAACATAATCATTTCTAGATATGACCAGCCATTCTTTTAAAAGTATTTTTGAAAACAGCAGCATAAACACCTCCTCACGTACCTTCCAAGCCTTTTTTTTTTTTTCAGTTAAACTTGCCTTTCTGGTGCACGTGCGACACAACAATGAACACGCTAGCATTTAATTTAAAGAAAAAAGGTGCAAAATGAAAAGTGCCTTATCAATTCAACAAGAAAAGCTATACCAGTTACTACATTTTATATTAATTAAAACAATATATAAACAATATCTCTTTAGCTATATATAGTCTTCATGCCCATTTACCCTGTAATATATTATAATGCTATTGTTGCTATTGCTATGGACCCTTTCCGTGCTGTCCTGCCTACTGGCAATAATAGGTGAAAAAAATAAAAATCTTCCTTCATGAGACAACGAGCAGGTTATACAAACCAGGGCAGTCAACCTCTGCTCTGCATCCCCAGCAGTCCCTGGTTACTATTGGACTTCTCTGTTCTGACTAGAAAGACTGATTACTCGGTAGAAAGTCTGTGGGCAGTGAACTACAAGAAAAGACAACCTTGTAAACAGAGGTCAAAGATCAAGAAGCCAAGACAGAAAAAGGGTCCATATCTGTAGGCATAATGGAAATCATATGCATGAGAAAAACAAATTCGACTTTTATTTGTTTTCATTGTTTCCCCTCCTTTGCCTGACCCCGACCACCGAAAGATGTGCAGTGTGTTGGCTCTCCAGGTCTGTGCAGGGCCATATAAAGTGTCTTGGTTAATTTTTTTTTTTAATGTTTGTACTTCAGACATTCTAGAAGTGCTTAGGTGATAACATTTACCCATCAATTTGCATTGCTGGCTCAAATTCTGAAGTGAACAACTCCTTGTATAACGGAGGAAAATGAAGTCGCACAATGTCTGGGTATATTGCTTTAAATGCCATAAGCTTTTCTGTATGTCGTCCACATAGTGCTCTTAATGTAGACACCTTGCATATTAACTGTAAAGAGAAGGAAAGACAGAGGGTCAGAGGAGAAAAACAGTCCAGGACTGAGAATTTTTTTTTTAACCTGGAAGGCACCTTAGAACAATAATACCCTTATTTTACACTTGGGCTTCTCTTCAGTCCATATGAATCTTTCTCCTTCACTTTAAAGATAAAGAAAATTAGCTCCAGAAAAGATGAATTAACTTTGCCAGAGATGTACAATCAGTCACTGGCAGAACCTGATTAAGACCCATGTAATCCAATAGACGATTCAGGATTTTTTCCACTGTGCCCCATTGTCTTCCTCTCAACATAATGATAACAACAACATTTACAGAGTGCTTTAGGTTTTGCAAAGAGCGTTACAAATATAGCTAGGCACTGCCAAAGGCTGGTTTGAACTCAGATCTTGCTAACTCCAGGTCTGGTGCTCTATCCACTGTATCACACCTCGTTGCCCCAATCATCAGACCTATCTACCTACATCAGAATCTATGAAAGTAACTGAGTTTACATTTGCATGGTAGGCAAGGAAAAAGAGAGTTAGGTTCATTAGAAATTTTCTCCTCTAGCTTCCTCCCTTTCACTCACCTCCATGCCACCTAAAAACATAATAAAATTAATTTTCAATCCTCATCTTTTCCACTTACTGGCAAATATACTCCAACTAGTCACCACAAATAAACAAACTAGCAAAGCACCTCCCAAAATACTACAACACACACAGAGACAAGACAGATAAGTCTAAGACAAGGAGTCACCAACTGGAGACTTTCTGGCTCCCACCTTGGTTAATATTCCATCTTCCCGATGATTCTTCTGTAGGACATGCTGAAGTGCTAGTTGAATTTTCTGCTGTAATTTTTCTATTTTTACCTTCTCCTGCAGCCACGAGCGATCTAAAAGTGAGCAGGGAGACGGCTGTAGTATTCCTCTAACACCACATAATCAGGAGTAGGCCATACTTTCTCTAATATAACTTATCAAAGCTCTTTAAAAGGCTGACAATGCTGGTGCCTTCCCTCCGAGATCCTCTCCAGTTTATTCTGTCTGTAGTTTGTCTGTACATGGTTGTTTGCATGTTGTCTCCCCATTAAAGCGTGAGATCCCTGAAAGTAGGAAATTCTTTCTGCCATTATTGGTATCCCCTGCACTTAACAGAGTGTCTGGCATATAGTAGGTGCTTAATAAATGTTTCTGGATGGACTGATGAATCCTCTCTACAGTTTCCTTTTGAATTTTGTAAAGCAGGGCATGGGCAATTAAGCTTTTATAAGCATTTATTTATAAGCAATTAAGCCTTTGTAAAGGATAAATAGGGCATGTGTAAGACCCTGAAATAACTTGCTTCTTAGAGGAAAAGTAGGATCTGTTCATAACCATATGTGCTATTTGAATTTAGCATGTGTATGCATAAAAGTAGATGATCAATCACAAAGCATTTATTTAGCTCTTACTAAAGTGCAAGGCACTATGCTAAGTGCTAGGGATGTAAAGATAAAATAGATAGTCCTGGCCCTCAAGGTGCTCACATTTTAAAGGAGACAACATGCACACAAATAGGTAAAACTATCATGGGCACTCAAGTTTTCAAGATAACTAAATTTTTAGATGAAACTATTATGCCCTATAAGTGTACACGATATATCCATACTCGAGTGAGTGTCCTCTCTGGCGAATATTAGAACTACCCTATAGTTTAAGGCAACTAAGGTTTCACTTAGACTTCCAAGTATCAATTATTTCAAGAAAAATAATGTAATTGCATAAAATATTTCATGGCAGGAAGTAGTAAACTAATGGAACTTATAACTCTGAAATACAAATATAAAGAGTGGGATAAAGTCATGCAAGGTAGTGCCAAAATGGTTCATTAAGAGATGGCAGAATGTTTTAGGAGGTACATTCCCAACTTTCACTGTCAAGGCAAACAAGATCCATTCACATTATTTCATTTAGAATCTCTACCTATAGAATATAGGCTAGATGAACCACTAATAAGACCCACTGTGGGGCATTATTTTTTAAAGGTATTATTTGAACTGTATACTTTGGTAGATCCCAATTTAACATTTCAGAGAAAATGTTTTTTATCTAGTAAAAAAAGGGAAGTTATACTTACTAATATTAAAATCAGGAATTCTTTGCCTGGACAATCTTAAAGGTATTATTTTTATTAACTGAAATCAGCCTTACCTGCAGACATTAACACAAATGCAGAAAACAATGCAATCTCATCTTCAGTCAGGTGCATAGAACATAAACTCTTTCCAAATTCAAAAACAAAGCTAATAAAATCTTCACAACCTGTCAAAATAAAAACATAAAAGACTTGGAACTTGGGCTAACATTCTAGAGAAAAAAAGATGTGGCTATCATACTATTCAGGTATAAGGATCTGATTTGAGAAAATTAAATGATTAACCTATATTCAGAAGTGGCAGTAGTAATTTTCTAGAGGCTACTAGGTGGCACAGCGGATAGAGTACTGGACCTGGAGTCAGGAAGACCTAAGTTGAAATTCAGCCTCAGACACTTATACTTGTGTGACATTGAGCAAGTCACTTAAAGTGTCTACTTCAGTTTTCTCATCTGTAAAATGAGGATAACAATAGCTACCTCACAGAGGGTGTCGTGAGGACAAACTGAGATATCCAAGAGCATTTTGCAAACTTTAAAGTGTTACATAAATACTAGCAGCTACTACTACTACTACTACTACTACTACTACTACTCCTCTACTGCTGCTGCTGCTGCTGCTACTACTACTACTACAGCTTTTATTTGAATTTTTAATGTAAAATTAATTTAGTTATGGATGCTTCCTAGTTTACTTCAAAATTATTAAAATCTACAAACATTCTGTGAATTTTCAGTAAAAAAAATATAACAACATACCTCTGTCCTAGTTTTATATATATATATATATATATATATATATATAAAATAAGCTGAAATGTTTCATTGATAGATTTCTATACAGTGGGTGTGGTGTGATGTGGGGTGTGTGTGTGTGTGGGTGTGTGTGTGTGTGTGTGTGTGTATAGGCATTATCACAGAATTGATATGGTACTAGATTTGGCATCAGGAAACCCTGGGTTCAAATACTAACTTGGACATTTCCTAGCTGTGTGACCATAGGTAATTCACTTAACCTCTATAAGCCTCAGGTATTTCTCTAAAACTATATAATATTACTTAGAATGGATATCAATATATCAAGTAGCAGTGATTTTTGTCAGTGTGTGATTTTTATTGGTGGAGGAAGTTCTCACAATGACAAAATCATAGTTCCTTAAAATTGATGTGTATTAACATAGTATCCATTTCTGAGTAATAATTTATTTTCTTCTAAATTTGGAATTCTTGCTTGTACTTATCTAAAGACCAGTATATATCTCATTATCAAAATTATATCAACAATTTTTACATTATGAATATAATTATTTAATATCTAAAGGACAAGCAGAAGGATATAACGTAAACTCATAATATTAGGCTAGATATGACAGGAATTTATGGTACCACATATAAGACCATAAAAGCTTTTTAGAGTTTCCTATAGTGACATAGTATAAAATAAAAGAAAAATAAAACATTATTTTCTAGCTTCCAAATAACTAGCTTCCATTTTAGATGACAAAACCCCTCCAAGTATCTCTTTCCATTGTTCTGGCAATTCAGTTCAGAGTTTTCTTACCTAAGGATTTGAACACATCAGGGCTAGCATATTTCCCATCAAAGTATACGGTGTTGTTCTGAGAGTCAAAGGCACGGCACATTCTGATAAACACCACTTCCAAAGAACCTAAAGAAAGACAAAAATGGTTTAGTTTATAATACTTCAGGGAATTTAATTTTACACAATGAATGGAAATATGTTTTTCAATGTTATAGGTGATGTAATGGGTACTGTACGTAATTTAACTGGTGGACTCTACAGTCAAATGAATGATTTATTCAGAATAAGTGAGATGTATTACTATCATTAAAGATTATTGTCCTGAGGCATCATTAGGTTTTACAGAAGAGAAGATTAATTTATAAATGACAACCTTACAATCATTTCTGCTTTTCTATGAAGAGTTCTAGTGTTACTAAGAGAAAGAAAAATACTTCAAACCTATATGTGCACATACCTGCATATATATTATTTTTAAAAATGGTAATTTGGTATCTACTGAACACCATAAGCAACCCTCTTCACTCCTACTCCATCCAAACTTCCCATATGGTCAAAAAATACAGAAATAAATTTTATCAAAATTTGGGAATACAAATACATATCAAACATATTTATTCATTCAGAAAAAAAACCCATAATGAATGAATCAATTTTAAAAAATTAACATAAACCATTTAAAGTTGGTTTTTGCTAAGAGAAATGTGAGTTAATGACAGCAGAGGAAAAAAAATACTATTAATCTCCCCCACCTTAACAAGCATTTCGTTCACAAGCAGGGTGAAATGGGCCTTGAAATTTGCCAGCAAAGCACATACCTGCTTTTAAAAGCACAATTTGATCATTTTGACACAGTTCCATAAATCCATCAATGCGTTTGGCAAACTCCACTACGTACTGAATAGCTTCTGTTATTTTGACCGCGCACAACTGCCACATTACTTCTCTTTGCTGTAAAAGAGAGAAAACGGGTTACCATACAAAATCACCTACAAACTGGGCATAATTGGTTTAACTGGTCTAATGTTTTCAAATCCGTCTTAGGTTGTAGACTCCAGTGACCAAATTGTGTAGAGGTGTTCTATATCCTTTATGTATATAAAAGCAATAGTTCATCTATTTTAATTTAGATGCAGAAAGTAATTTTCAAGTCCCTCCTCTTATTCCTCTCTCTCCAACCCCTACAAGGTTTTGTTTTGTTTTGTTTTTCCCTGCCTAGGACAAAGACAAAGAAGATATGCTATGAACACAAATAGCAAAAAGCTGAAGTATACCATTGCATCAGCAGAAACAATCCCATTGAGCCTTTGGGAATGTGACAGCTCCATCTTATTCTCATTTTGTAGCCATTTCAAAAGTAAACCCAAATGATGCTTTGGTAAGCCCTAACCTGTCCAGCTGCTTGCCTTATATAAGTATGATCCTAAGAATAAGCTGGAGGGAAGCCTGTCTGTCATGGTCAGTTTCAGGTTTATTCTGTGGCAGGATGGGAAAAAAAAAATCACTGGATACCTGAGATTTAGTTTTGGCTGTATCACTAACTCTCAGTATATATGGCCTTGGGCAAGTAACTTAACCTCACTGGGTTTCTATTTTCTTCCATAAAACTTCCTCCTTAAGTCTGAGCCTCAAACTGGCATGTTTGGTATAGGGTGTTCTAAAACCTTTACACACCCTCTAAATACCTGACTCAACTTCAAGAAAACTAAAGTTGAGACTATTTTACTCCACCTTTCTGGCCTTTAAATTCTCAAATGTAACAAAACACAAATATAAACTCATGCAGATTTTTGAAAGTTTACCTACCTCCTATTCTAAACCCCCAACCCTCACTCCTTTCACCGTTACAAGTGAGAGGCCTAAAAAGACATTCTTAAAATAATCTCCAAGGTTCTACCTTGTTCTGATAGTTTTCAATCTCTTCCTGGAGAAAGGTCTGCCATGTTATCTGCTGTAGTTCCTCTCTCAAGTATTGGCAAGTTTCCATATGTGACTTGGAAATATTCTGTGCAAGGTGTTCTAAGTCAAAACAAAACAAAAAAGGTCAGAAAGCACAATGATTTTCCCCTTTTAATCTTTAAACCAAAAAAACCTTTTTTAAATTACTTTGGCATTTTTCAGAATTTAAATAAGCTTATTAAGTCAGGGTTTCTTAACCTGGAGTTGTGAATTTGTTTTTTTGTCATCGTCCCCCCCCCCCCCGTTATGATACTTGTACCAATACAGAATGACCTAAAGAAGTCTTGGTGCAAAAAGGTGTGGGGTGCAGTGTATGGCCCAAAAAAGGATCAAGAATCTCTTTAAGTCATCCTGAACAATTCACTCAGCACTCACTTTAGGAAGACAAGACTGAGGAGTTCGGACTTTGCCAAAAGACAGGGAATGGAAACTTTTTAGAACTTCCTGACCTTGATAACATTCTATCCCCCTACAAAGATGCCTGGGAATGAATGAACATTAAGCCAGACATAACTAAAACATGAGTGAAAATAAAACCAATTCATTTTAGATGTATTTAACAGAACTCTGAACTTAAGGTAGCACCTCATCCCTTTTTTTGATAGGCTGAGATCTGCACAGGTATCTTCTCTGCAAATGATCACATGGGGAGAATTTAGTCTTGATAAATTAGAAAATTATATGGCTGCACAAATATAGAAATAGATAATATAACTGTTGAATGAGCATTTAATTAATGCCTAACTATGTATCTAGCACTATATCAGATTCTGTAAGGGAAGACACGATTTACACACTGAAAACAAGTAGTATAGCAGTGTAACGTTAAATGTAATTATATATTACATAAGGAATAGAGAATAAGTACTGTGGGAGGTCAAGAAGAGAGAGATCAATGTTAGATAATTGGGAAATGCTTCTTGGAGGAGGTAATGCCTAAAAAGATTTTGAAAAATGGATGTAAAAAGGTAGTTTAAGTGTGTTTACACATATTATCAATGAAATTAAAACATTATCTGGGAAATAATTTCAGATAGATTAAGCCAAACTAGTTGCCGGGAATAATATCAAGATGTAGAGTTTAGACTTGGCAAGATAGAGAAATGGAAGATTAATTCAGTCGTAGCATGTAAAGGTAGACTACAGGCAGAAGGGACTAGAGAAAAACCAGTTATAAGGCTGTTTCAAAAATCTAGATGCTAGGTAAAGAAGCTCTGAAAAAGGAATGGTAGCATGGAGAATTGAGCTGAAGGGCTGAATTCAAAGGTTATGTCAAAAGAAGAGTTAATTAAGAATATCTGGTGAAAACACATAACATGAAGAAGAATGGGTCTGGGAGCTGACTTGGCCACACCGCCAACAAAAATTCCCATTTAACCAGAGGTGGTTACAACTTGAACAGAATGAGAATTGTCTGTGTGGAAACCATTTATAGAAAAGAATAACTAGCAAAATGGATACATAAGGCAATAGAGAAGTAATAATACCCAAATAATCCTGAAATAAGGTACTGAACTACCTTCTAAAGAAACAGCTTTCTTGATAGGCCATTTTCTTTGGTTTTAATAACTCTTTCAAGTAAATTAAAATATTTGTAAAAGTTTAAATTGAACTTGACCAATGAAAACGTTGAATGCAGAATCAGCTGAGTCTGACACAGACTATTGAAAAGTTTCCAATGCTATTGCCAACAGTAGAGGACATGACAAGTTAAACTGTGTAAAAATGCTGTCCTTAGGCCACTATAGATCCAGTCTGCCCCAGAGGTGGGGCCCCAATAAATTTGTAATGAATTCCCTATGGTCCTTTAAACACGATATCTACTTCAGCCAAGACTTGTACTCATAAGTCAGATGATGGGATAGGAAAGCTATTATTGCATATTGTCTACAGTAAATACACATACTTACTGAGTCAACAGCTGAATGAGTTGTATCTCCTCATGTAAAATGGGTCCTTCTTTCTTGATACACTTGACCCAGACTGCTTTCTCCCTACTTCTTGACCAATCAGTAAAAGGGGTACAACTGAAAGTTTAAATGTGAATGACTCACCAGTAGAGGGCAGTGGCCACATTCTCACCAGTCAGTATATTACAATGTTTTTGATTATGACTCGCAACTTTTTATTTGCTAAGTTCTGATGAAGTCTGGGTATTGCTCTTTGTAAAGCCTCTCTAATTCAGCAAATAAGAAAATATCACACTGACGAAAAGTTGGTAAGTTAGTTTATTTCTTCCAATAATGCTTTATTTCTCAATTATGGAAATGAGAAGAAAAGAAAATAACTTTCATTTTCTACACAGGTCTCCAGGGTTGTTAGATTGTGCTACCTAAACCAAATATAGAACTTCATGATGGAGCCAAATTATCTAGCCAGAAATTTAGAAGTTTTCCCATTAAAAACACAGGGAGGGGCAGGGTAGGAGATACGTAAGATGCCACTCTGGAAGGCTAGAAGCCATTGTGAGAAGAATGAACTAGTAGTGTAGCATCTGCTAACCTACAATATTGTATCTGTAATTGCTATGTATTTGCAAATCAAAATCTGATGACAAGACTTATTCTGACATCACATCACTATGAGTATAGAATTTCATTTACTTATGTTGAAGATTTGAACATTAAACTTTTTTTAAAAAATGCATGAATTCCCTTAAAATTCTAGAACATTAGCACTTAACTTGCTAGTTCCTGTCATAATATAGTAATGCTCTTTGTTCTGCATGTCAATTGAATAATAAGACAGAAGTGCCTACTATATTTAAGAGCTCAGCTTCTGGAGAATCAATGTTCAAATAAACAAAAAATTAACAGAAATATTAAAAAATAAAATAAAATCTCAAAATTAACAAAAAACAATAAAAATTGTTCAAATATGATGTAATCATATTACACATTTTTTCCAAGTCAATTCTATTTTAGTTCTACATTTCAGACTGATATCAGTGAGAAGGGAATAAGCTTTTATATGGTACCTACTATGCCAAGCACTGCGCTAAAGTCTGAAAGACCCTTGTGTTAAGTACCTACAGAAATATTGGGGTCACTGGGTCCCAACTCCCACTGTACTGTCATAATGATAGCAATTTTGGTGTGTGCCTTGTAACTTTAGTTATGCGTGTTAAGGCAACAACACTATGCCAAAAGATAACAACAGAGAATAGCAAAGAGGAAATAGAATTTATGGAGACTTGACAATGAAATTAAAACAATCTTGGGTCATTAAAAAAGAATGTTAGTTTTCAATCAAATCCTTGCTTATCTCTATAATCTTGCTTTCTTCACATTTCTGTTTAAGGTCCAACTGAGATTACAAGATAAAGAGTTCTGGGTCCGGTTCAAGAAAACCAACAATAAAATAACCTGTCTTCTAGTTCAGAGGTTTCTCCATTAATTAAAAAAGATGTGAAGATACTTTTAACACTATTCACTGGTTAAAGCTGAAGCTTAAAAAAGTACTCTCATGGATCTAGATCCATAAAATAAGTATTAATGAGGAACTGCAAAAAAAAATTCCATTTGTTCTATTTTCAGAAAGCTTTTATGGACAACAAAAATCTGCCCTCTTACCCAGCAAAAAAAAAAATGTTTTCTAATGGAGAAAGACCTAGAGAAGGCAGGAGAAATCCTCCAAAAGAAGAGCACATCTACGGAACGAAAATAAGGATTTCAACTGCTTACAAAGTCTTTCTGCTCCTGCTGTTAATTTCCCCTCTGAAGTCTTAATTTTCTCAATGTCACAGATCAGTCACTTCCACAGCAACTCACAGAAAGGTCCCAAAGGATTAGAACCTTGAGTAAGGAATCATCAGGAGGAGCAGATCCAACTAAAAACCCACAGTGGCTCCCCTGATAATAGCACAATCCTTTAAATCCTATCAAAATGGCAAATGGCAATTTCCTAGAAAGAATATTTTGTTTTTTCACTTTTGCAGTCCTATCTAAATTTAATCTAAAGCATCCTAGCAATGATAGCCATAAACAGATTATAGTTATTTTCGTAGTGATTAGTCAGTAAAGTGAACAGATTGGGTGGCTAGCGTCCATTAAAAGAATATGTGGAAGAGTAAACAAAATTATGGCTCCACTGAACTCAGGTCTTCCTGATTCCCAAGTCTAGCACTCTTTACCCTTTAGAGAATAGGGCGATAACTGGCAATATCTCAAAGAATTCAACGGTAACGTTTCCTAAACCTAAAAAATTCCTGCGGAATTTGAACTTCCTGCTAGAGACAATGCATTTCCTTACCTTTAGTGTGATTCACAGTCAATTCAACAACTGACTAAGCAATGAAGAGATGACTACACAGGACGAAACTGGAAGGTTACTCAAATGATAAGGTCTGCTACAATTTCTCACAGCATACTCATTAGGAGAAAGCTAAATGCGTTAACTTTTCATTCAAAGGGTATGATTAAAGCAATTATGGAAACTTTTCTCTGGTATTACCTAATTCTGCCATGGATACAGTCGGAGAAGTCTCTCCATTTGTGAAAGAGCAATAAGGGAAGAAGCCCGATGCTGGTGTGTAGTCACATATTGGTTCTGGTTTGATTCCATTAATATCAAGACCCGACTGATCTGGAGAAGGCTGTATGTCTAAGTAGAAGCTGCTAACTGCAGAGTCTGCTTTGCTACCTTCAGGGGTATGACCATCAATGTAATTACTGAGGTCGTCGTGAAGCTCCGTGAGCCCATTGGTGGTGATATTATAGGTAGGTGTCAGCGGCTCTGCCTCTCCAGGCTGCTGCTGGTGATCTCGCTGCTGCTGCTGCATTCGGTGTTTCTGTACCTCGGCGTATAAGCTGTCCCTCTGCTTTTTTGACATCCGACCGAATTTTACAGCTGGAGGGGGGAAAAAAGGACAGAAGCACAAACATGTATGTGTGTATGTGTATACACGTTTATGCATGTACATATATACGTATATGTGCCTAAAACAAACAAATATGTGTGTATATACACACAGATATAAACAACATTAGGTGTTGCTTGGGAACTTATAAATTAAAGTGAAAGGAGGAGACACACACAGGTGTTATCATTTTTCCCCCTTAAATATCTCTACATAGTTGCAAGACAATAACAGAGTGGTGATTATATGGTAATGAAACTGACCCCAAAAGCCTACAGTTGAGAATTTAACTGGGGCAGCCAGGTGGCACAGTAGATAGAGCACCAGCCCTGGAGTCAGGAGGACCTGAGTTCAAATCCAGCCTCAACATTTACTAGCTGTGCTACTCTAGACAAGTCACTTAACCCTGAGTGCCTCCCCCTGCCTTTAAAAAAGAGAGAGAGAGAGAGAGAGAGAGAGCTCAACTCCTTCCTCAGACACTTATTAGGTGAGTGACAGGGCAAATCACTTAAATTCTGTCATCCTCAGTTTCCTTATCTGTGAAATGGAGATAATAATATAGTAATGGCACTTAGTTCCCAAAGTTTTTGTGAGAGCAAGTAGAATAACATAGGTAAAGTACCTTGCAAACCTTAAAGTATTATATAAATGCTATCTCATATTATCATTCCAAGTATTAATATCCTCATTTTACAGGTAAAGAAACTCCAGATCAGAAACTTCTTGTGACATTCTCACAGTTATTTGGAAGTTAGTATCGAGGGCGGGATTCAAATTCAGATCTCTCCTGATTGCAAGTCCAGTCACACACAAACACAAACACAAACACAAACATACCTGCACATACTGTCTTTATGGTCAGGAGACAGTTTACAGATAGCTTATTATAACTGATTACATATTACAATATATATTGATTATAATTCCACATCCCTCCACCACAGCACAATGCATCTTCTCTCCAATTTTCAGATCAAAACCAAGAGAATGAATGATTTCCATTGGGAGACTTAGTGACAAAAGTCCGTCTTCCAACTCATTTCAGTGTTCAGATTACTATGATAATTTCTTAGGACAGAAACAGCTAGATGGCACAGTGGATAGAGGGCTGGGCCTGGAGACTTGAGTTCAAATCCAGTCTCAATGCCTGTGTTTGCCTCAGTTTCCTCCAATGTAAAATGGAGATCATAATAGCACTTTACCTCCCAGGGTTTTTGTTGAGGACCAGGTGAGGTCCTCATTGTATATATGAAGAACTTAGTCTAGTGCCTGGCCCATAATAATGCTTATTCCCTTCCATTAGGCCAGCCACTAAAGTTTTAATACTCTAACTCCATTCTGTGCTCTAGACTTTGACTCATTTTCCTCTGTATTTGAAAGCATCTTTCTTTTTTTTAAAATCTAAAGAAGATCCCTGATGTGGTCATGGTAGACCCTAGGGCATCTCTGGGCCCCGCTTTTCAGAAACTGTATAATACCATTCTGCTATCACCAGTCTCAAGTTATCAACACTTGAATTTTGGCTTCAGGGTTTCTCCCTTGGGATGTGCCTCCAGGTACAAAATGAAGAGGATAATTAGGGAAGTTATCTGGGGATCATCCAGCTCGTACAATTATTTCTCCTGAAACAATCAGATCACTAAGGAAAAAATTATTTATTAGCTTGAATCATTCCTGCAAAAGATCACAATTCTCCACTTTATAGAAGTAGGCAAAAAGACTCTGTTGAGTATTACTAATGCTATTATAATTAGAAATTAGATATAGAAAATATGAATTAATTCATCTGACCTCCACCTTATTGTTTCAGGGGAAGAGAAATGAAAATGAGTTTGTTGGCTTAGGTCAGCACACCAGATAGTGTTGCACATTTTTTTTATGCCAAAGAACATTTATGATATACTACTTCTTTTTCCACATAGAAGAAACTGATTAATATGGAACATCAGACATAGTGATCAAACAAAACTTGGGAAGAAAAGTAACAAAACCTTGGTAGTCCATTCTGTAGCCTGACTGAATATGGCCCAGGAGTTTAGGTCCATAATAACTAGCATTTACATAGCACTTAAGTTTTGTAGAGCACTTCACACGTGTTTTCTCATCTGATCTTCACAACCACACTGTGAGGTAAGTGCTATTATTATCCCAATTGTATAGATGAAGAAACTGAGGCCGAGAGAGTTTAGGTGACCTGCCCAAGGCCACACTAAGAGTAAGTGTCTGAGGCTGCATTTGAACTCAGGTCTTTCTGACTCCCAAGTCTAGCACTCCGTCTACCACCACCTAGATACTACAATTTCCCAAGTACAAAAACTGACCTCAAACCCAAAACAACATGTACCATTTATCATTCGCAAAAAAAAAATATCTTTCCTGAAACAATTAAAAAACATATGTCCCATTACATCCTGAGAACAAATTTCGGTAGAACTGTTATTGCTCTATATGTATAACAACTACACGAAACTTCTGTCTTACCTTACAGTGCCTTCATAATAATACCTTTCCAAATAAGAAAGAAAAACTGTTCTTGAGAAAATACATTCTCATCCTGTGACTTTAATTTACAGGTTCCCAAGCAACACCTAATTTTGTCAGCTCAGTGCCAACAGAAGAGAAAATCTGCTGGCATTGCACATCACAGGAATTTCTAAGAATATGGTGTAAATTGTTTGTGACCTGCATCTGTCAGCTCCAAAAACTTTCAGTTTTATTCTTTCATATTCCAAGAGCCATGCATATATACCACCACCATTGTGGGCTGCACTCTGTGCAAAAAGCAGGTCCACAGGAGTTTCTAAATATTGGATTCCAGCAACAGTAGAGAGTCTTTATTAGACAGTATGCCTAGTAAGCTGAAGTTGATATCTACAGGGTGGTCCTTTAAAGAGAAGCTTTATTAGACAAGACATGATATTCAGTTAGATCTCATGAAAAGACCATCCAACATGATGAAATGACCTCAAACATACATAATGTGCTTTGTGCCCAGTTTCCATGCATGTGAATAACTGTCTTACAATCTGGTATTGATTATTCTATACACTTAAGATAGTTTCCCAGGCAAATCTAGAATGTCTTATAATTGGATGATAGATGGTTTCTCCTTTTTAAAATATTTTTCCTTAATGAAAAGAAAATTTGTTGCTGATCCAAGCTGTGCTTTATTCTCATATACTCTGTGTGTACAAATATTTGACTTTAGCATACAATTTTTTAAAATATGTACTGCAAGTTAAAATTGATTTGCTCTGAATGTCAATAATCCTTTTGGGATATAGCATCTGTCTACAAACCTATAAATTTGGGGGAGTTGCTTTGCCATCTGGCAAAATGTAATGAAAATTCAAAGTATGAAGGCAGTAAGATTTATACTTATGTTTAATCAATGCATCTCCATATAGTGTCTTAAAGTCATGCACTGGAAGTGTTCTGATACATTTTCCTGGTCATGCCACCTTTCACTGAATCAGCTTAAAGCAACCACCTCTTTGGAGATGCAGCAAATTGGATCAACATCTATGCTGAAACAGCTACATAAAGCAGGGGAATATATGGAAGAACTTAGTTCACATTTTAAGAGGTATTTTAACAATCATCCTAAAAAAAGAGTGTCACTCTACCCCAGGAAGAGAACTCAAATTGGGAGAGCTCACCATCTCGAGACATCCCTACAGCAAGGCATTTCTGTAATCGACAGTGTTGGCAGCGGTTTCTACTAGTTCGATCAATCAAACAATTCTTCTGACGAGGACAGGAGTACGTGGCATTACTTTGCTGACTCCTCCTGAAAAAGCCCTGTGATTTAAGTCACAAATTGCAAAAACAATAGGTTAGTATCAATTTTGTCTACCCAATTCTAAAGACAGTATACTAAATGGTTTAATATTTAATGGAGAATTAAACTTGTGTTAGAATCATCTAGGAAATCATTAATGAAATTAAAGCTAGTGTTTATTTTTTTTCCTGAGTAAAATGAATCTCCTGAGTCCAATCCTACAGTCCTTACACATGCAAAGCTCCCTTTAATTTCAGCAGAGTTGCATAAGGAATATTGGACTTGGTCTCCATTTTGTGGCCATTGACGATTAAAAGAAATTCCTTTGGAAAACAAATGGAAGGAAATTAATCACTCACCTGTGTTTTCCATTTATTTCTAAAATATTTATTGCACAAAAATCACACCAAACAGGAAAATACTTTTCTATGTTTTTCAAAGTTTAAATGATAACTCTACACCAGAAATTCTGGTTGGGTCGGGTCCCAGAAACAGCACCGGGAATGCCCAGCTCATTTTAGCTCATTTATTTAGTTCAGCTTAGGTCAAGTCACTTCACTTGTTTGGGTATCAGTTTCCTCATTCATCAAATGAGGAAGCAAATTAGATGACTGCTGACTTTTCAATGAGGTTCACTTATTTTTCTTTCTTTTTCTATCTTTTCTTTTTTTAATTAGTCAGTCAACCAATGTTAATTAAGTGACTATTATGTGCCAGACACTGTGTTAAGCCCTGGGGATACAAAGAAAGGCAAAAGACAGTATCTGCTCTTAGGGAGCTCCCAGTCTAAAGGAGGAGACAAACTACATGTGGGATTAACTGGACATTATCAATGCAGACAAGGGGGGGGGCCGGAAAGACTTCTTGTAGAAGGTAGGATTTTAGTTGGCTCTTGAAGGAAGCCAGAGAAGGTAGGAGGTAGAGATGAGGAAGGAGAATGTACTAGGCATGGAAGACAGCCAATTAAAATCTTGGAGATGGGACAGGGAATATCTTGTTCCAGGAACAGCAAGGAGGCTGGTGTCACTAGGTTATAAATTATCTGGGGGCTGGAGGGGCAAATTGGAAGGAGACTGAAAAGGTGTGTTTTGAAGAGTTATGGACACCTCCAAAGAGGGTTTTATGATTTGTAAACGTGATCAGGGTATTGAGTAGGCGATGACATGGTCAGACCTGCACTTTAAGAAGATCACTTTGACTGCTGAGCAATAGATAGACTGAAATGAGGAGCAACTTGTGGCAGCCAGACCAACCAGCAAGCTATTGCTTGCTATGGATCAAATGAGATAATATCTGTAAAAGCAATTAGCATAGTGCCTAGCACATCTGTTGTTGTGTTGTTTCAGTCATGTCTGACTCGGCGTCCCCATTTGGGGTTTTCCTGGCAAAGCTATTGGAGTGGTTTTCCATTTCCTTCTCCAGATCATTTTACACATGAAGAAACTGAGGCAACAGGGTAAAGTGACTTGTACAGGGTCACACAGCCAGTATCTGAGGCTGTATTTGAACTTAGGAAGAGGAGTCTTTCTGATTCCGAGCCCAGTGCTCCACCCACTATACCATCGAGCTGCCCCGCCTGCCACAAAGCAGGCTTTTAATAAATGTTTACTCCCTTCCTCTTGTCTTCCCACTTATTCCACCCTCCTCTGCCACCGTTCAGTTTTCTTTTGGACACTGTCTTCCCCCATTAGACTGTAAGGTTTTTGAGGGCAAGAACTACATTTTTTTTCCTTTTATAAACTTGCACATCCTGTGCTTAGTGCAGTTTCTGGCACACAGGGTTTTTCATTTCTCATATGGATGCACTACTCTAGAACTCTGATTTTCCCATTATGCCCCAGGAAGCTTAATATTGGGAAACCTCCTCATCCTGCAGGATCCCATCAGCCTTGTCACTCTATCTTATTACCACCTTCAGTCCCTCTGATTTGAGGGTGGAGCCATGAACTCCCAAAGCTTCTGAGCTGAAGGAGCTCAGCTCTGAACATCTCTTCATTTCTTATCTAGCTGCACTACAGTGGGATGTCTTTAACTTTTCTGCCACACCCTCGAATCAGGTATCCCAACCCCTTTCCCCCTCCACTGCTTTTCAGTTTCCTTTTGTGTGCTGTCTTTCCCCATTAGATTGTAAGCTCCTTGAGAGCAGGGGCTGTCTTTCTTTTTTTGTATTTGTATCCTTAGCACAGTAAGTGCTTAATAGTATTTACTAACTGACTGCTTAATAAATGTTTAACTATTGTGACAGTCACTATAGTGAAGTCATGAGGGCTCACACCAGAGTGGTGGCAGTATCAGAAGAAAGAAGGGGAGATGTTACAAAGGCAAAATGGAAAGACTTTGGCACAACAGAGATAGTGAGCAGCTGAGAAGGACTCCTAGGTATTGAGCCTAGGAAGACTGGGAAGATGACAGACATAAAAGAATGTTATAACTAGAAAAAAACTTATATATGCATTGAATAAATGTATGTTGAACTAAAATCAATGTAGTCCAACCCATTCACTCCCCAGATTAAGACACTAAAGTCCAGAGAGAAGAAATATCTTGCCAAGGTAGCATAACCAAGTCTGTACTTAATAGCATCCTTTACCCTGGGTATCTCAATGGTACTTGAACTCTTAGCACCAACGTCTTGACAGACTACCTAATAAGGTTGGTAAACTTTCTCAGTCCTTTTTATTTTTTTAATTATAATGTGCCCAGAGGAAACTCCTTGATGCTCAAAGAGGCAGAGGTGGTGGTTTTAATATTGGCAAGATACATAGGCCACCCACTCAAAGGATTAATGTTAGAAGTAGGAAGATAATAGACAAAGGAGCAGGTAGACTTTTAAGTGAAACCGTAGTGTAGTGAGGGAAGATGACCAGAGTATCTGCTTGCTCTAAGCCCATGGACTGGCTATCCCATGGAGAAGAGGAGAGGATATAAGGACCAAGGCAAATTACATCATATGTCCTCTATGGCATGAAATGTCAAATTTGGCTTATGTCCCATAAGGCCAACATGCAAGCTGAAAGGAATAACTGAAAGGAGATAGGGACTACTGTGTCTTGGTTTGCCTTGGCAACATTTGGGGAATTTACATGGCTATGGCATGCCTAGGAATCATAAGCATTTGCAGTTTTTATCTTTAAATGCTGACAAAACCACTTGCTTTCAGCCTCAATTCCCTCCTGTTCCTCATTGTTCACCTACATAGCTCCCACAGCTACATGGGGCTCCTGAAAGCCCAAAGCATACAGCCAATGCCCTGGAAACCCTATGGATAGCTTTTTCGAAGCAAAAGCTAGTTGACCTCTTTCACCTAGTGTTCCCTGTCCAGACTACCCCTCCCCTGCCCCACCTAGACACCCAGTAATCATTATAGAACATCGCCTATAAAATAGTACAGACTTCCATGTCTTTTTGAGCTGTGAAACTCAATCTAGCATCTCATACCTACTTGTATAGTTTCCCCAACTAGAAGGTAAGTTTGGTTTGGAGACACTCTCTCCATCCATTCTCTGAGGACCAGACTAACTAAGTTTGTATAGGCTCATCACAGATAGAGAGAAATGATTATTAATAATCAAAGATTTGGGGAGATCCAGAGTTCCCCCCTTTTTCTAAAGTCCTGATCTTAAAAAGTTCAGTCTCTTGACGAACATTGCTGATAATGAGATTTGACTAATAACTTTCTCGTTCAGAGCCCATCCACATGGAGTAGCCATAATGTTTTGTTCAGGTTTAAGTGGGGTATAAATTCTTTGAATAGATTGCCCAAGGCTGGGGAGGTGGGGACTTAGAAAGGGATGATACGATCAAAGTTCAAATCCAACCTCTCATTGTAATATTCATTCTCTCACTAACTGTTAGCTAATCAGGGTTGCCACTCCTCTTCCAAAAGAGCATTTAAGACATGAGCCTGGCCCACTATGACTGTCTTTGGTCTAATAGAGAGATGGTCAAATGATCATCCTTTTATTTAAATAATAGCATTATTAAAAGTTATTAAAGTACCCAGAAATTATGTCTCTTGAACCTTTTTAATCATCAAAAGGTGGGTGAAAATTATAACCACAGTGACTCCTACAAGCTATCAACTCCAAAGGTTCCTTGTCTTGTACTTTATGTCAATCCCAGAAATGAGCATGGTGCCTTGCATCTGGCAGGTGGCTCACCAAATGTTATGTGGATTAACTTTATATTTATCTTGAAGAAAGAACAGAAGTATATGATGAGAAATTTCTGGAAGTCCAATGACACAGAGGGAGGCATGCTATCTACCACAGCTCCTTTCTCCCCCATGTCTCTAGCATTCTATACTTTACAAAACATTTTCTTTGCCATAACCTTTGGAGGTGGTTGGTATATGTTTACCCAGATGACAACATATACATATAGTCAATGCATCAAAGCGCTATCATTTTTGTCATTGCTCTACTTACATATGCAGCTCTATAATTTAATTTAACAGATAATCTTCAAGAGTTGCTATGGTCAGGTGGCCAACCTAATGATGAGCCTCACTGAGCTTTGCTAAGTTACACTGTAGGTCTATTGTGGGAGGACCATCACCGGGCCCATATACAAAGCCCCTCTGGCTCAACACACTGTACCAGAATTTGTGTTTCCCTAGCATAGCTTAAAAGAACTCCCTACACCAATCCCCCACCTTCAGCATGAAGCATCTCAGTAAGACTTTGGTAGAGATACACATGTGTGTATATACACACGCACAGGAACACACAATCTGGTGTTACCCGATTCGAGCTCTTTAACCTACTCAGGCCACTGTTAATTTTTTAAAATGAAGGGTCCGGATTAGATGATTTCTAAGACTACTCCTTGCAGGGCTGAATCTATGAACCTGTGATTTGTAATAACCCTCCACTCTTCCAGAGCTGTTGCTGTTCAGTCATTTTTCAGTCGTGTCTGACTCTTCATGACCCCATTTGGGGTTTTCTGGGCAAAGATGCTGGAGCGGTTTGCCATTTCCTCCTCCAGCTCATTTTACAGATGGGGAAACTGAGGCAAATAG